ATCTCCCAGCTCCCGAAAGCTTACCTCTCAATCTGCGATTTTGTATTCGAGACAAGATTCGATGTTAGATAGTGTGTGCGCCATTTGGAGAACTGAATGTTATTTAGGATAGGACATTGGTTAGAGAGTGTGTGCCATTCGCAGATTTTGCATCGCGAGTTGTTGGAGAGTTTCTGGTTCATTTTTCGTGGAGTGAGAGAATAGTCGCGCTGTAAGAATTCTTGCACCACCGTCTCGTGCCCAACGACAGTATCTTCAAATTCATCTGTATTCAGCTTTACATACACTACTAAGCCGTATTGTCATTGGTTTTTCACGACGGGAGAATCTAGAAAGACTGCCATTGAACTGCCATGTACCAGTAGATCGAACACGTAAAATATACTGCCATCGACCTGCAAACACCGATCGATTTACCTTTCTTTCTTTACTTTATAGCAAATTTCAAAATGGCCAGAAGGATACGAATAAATGAGCCTTCGAAATCAAATTAAACACGTAGTGTTCTTCAGGACAGTCTTCTTACCTTCTCAGAGCATATTCAGATCATGAATTCAGAACGCTGTTTACGAGACCTTCATTGCATATTGGCATTATGGGTGAAAAGAGATTGATTGATGTTGCTCTGTTGTATGTAGTATGTATACATACATACGTGCTCCATTCGCCATCTATTGCTACAACTACCTAGATAGTCTTCATCACCTTATCAACCACATTGAGACACTTTCTCTCTCTTACTATTCTTCTTCTTCAAGCCCCAGCTAAAATGCCAAGTTCTCAATGAAAAAAAGGTTTTATCCCGAAGGAAGCAATCAAAAATTCCCCCGATGGGGACCCCGAAGGATACCCAACGATTCTCGTCGCCCCGATGTGCAATGGAGGACTCGTATCATAGCATTCTTAATTCTTGATCTAAGAATGCTCCGAGAAGGTAAGTATGATTTTTTAAAAGCGTGGGAAGAGAGGGAAGTTTATATAGAAAATAGGAGATGGCTTGTGCACGCTAACGATGAGGCCAGTTGGTGCAAATAGAGCAAATATGGCTTAATTGGGAATAGCGGATGAATCTAAGCGGATGTGGGAGAATGTGGATCTTCGACAATGGGTGTAGTTGGAAAGTTCATGATCAATTTTTTGATTAATTCAAAAAATGTGTGGTTTTGTTCAAACCGTATTCTCGTTGACCTCGAATGTTAATATTTAATATTGAGTTTGGTTATAAGGAATTGAATTGGGAAGGAACGATTTTCTAGATGGAAATCAGGAGTACCTGGGTAGAGATAGCCAACATAGGTACCAGGTACCAAGGTAGGTAGGTACCTTTCTATGTATCTTACTATGTATGCAATGCAGAATAATCAATTACAATTGAGACTCACTTTCATTTCTTTACAACCACTCTTTGATCGTGATGATCATAACGACGACATTGGCAATATCTACGATTGATCATTAAATTGCATCATGTCAGTAATCCACTTCCATTTTACTATGGATATCCATCCGTTTTCTTAATTTCTGTCATCGCATCTCTTTTCCCTTCACGTCAAAGTGAAAGCTGGCGACGTTGGCGGTGTTGTGTTTTTGGTTTCTCAATCTTCAATTCCCGACTTTTGTTTGCATTGAAGTGTCATCCACAATAACATATCTTGTACAAATGCTTGAAGTGATTTGGAGTGGAATGTGGTGAGCTACCACGCATCGAGGAGCCTGTGTGGCATCAGTCGTGTCTTTCAAGATATTACAATTATCGGATTGTCATGAGCGTGGTAAACTGTTTGCTCGTGTTCTTCTCCCATCAGGTAACATTTTCCGGTCATTGTTTTCTTTACATCATCTTCTCTACATGGAAATCTGGGCACCATGCTGACTCTGATCTAGTGCTCTCTTTCGACTCTCGTCTTCTTCAAGAATGATACAACTGATGAGTGGTTTCTTCAAAACAAGTCTGCAGAGCTACGAGGAGATCATGTCTTCTTTATACAGTTTGGCATTCTGGTGTTCATCATTCCCAGTTTCTTACTATCGAACCAGCACCCTGGTCGAAGACGATTCTATACTTGCCATGGGCAGGTCACTTCAAAGTGACCGTACTTATTCAGACGAATGAATGCATCTATTCCGTCAGAAAACCATGCAAGCACGACGTCCTGTTCAGGATATAGTGATTCATGAATTTGAGGCCTACCATACCCCTCAAACAATCAAATGTGCCGATTCTTCTATTTACTGTTAGCAAGCTCACAAATTGGTACCTTCCTGATCAAACTCTGCACACCTGACATCGCTTTTCTGTCCAGAAACACAGTTGATCAATGTTCCATCATTACCTGTCCCGAGTCTGTCCGCTAGAGTATCCCCACGTATCTGATAATGACTACTTGAGGTCGATGTCAACGTTATCTCCAGGGCTGAACAACTCATAAGGTTTGAATGTCCGGCATTTCCCAAAACAATCAACAATGCTAACTCTTTGAATTTTGGGTTACAAGGCTATAAATCATTCACATTTGAAAGACACAATGCTTCAGCGGAATCGGAACCGAATATACCATGACACTATACTACTGTCATACCGATTATGGCTATACAATCATTTAACGCCACCAAACATCATTTGTGGTGAACACAGCGCCGTTTGTGAAGTAAGCGTGTCATTGTCACCTACCACGACATTCTCCACATTTCATAGAGAAAGGGTGTAGGTTTGTATCAGTAAATGCACATACTATGATTTTTTCCAGCCCTATTTGAATTAATGATGTGTAGGTGCAGGAGCCTTCCAATCACAAGTTTACCACTATGGATGCTAATGATTAGAGAAATTCTTCCCAAATGAACAGTTGGTAGGCCGTTGGATACTACCCCTGTGTCCAATAACATAAAGCCACAATACCTCCATGGTTTCGCAGACGAGTCTTGCCCGGGTTGAGCAATCCCGAGGACAAATTTATGAGAGAAGTAAAAGTGTCACAAAATCACAGATATTATCATATATTATCATATATTCGAGTGGTGCCCAGCCGGATATGCTACGCTCTCTGGAAATTCTGTGAGTTTTGAAGCTGCATTTTAAGATCAAGCTCACGTACAGATGATGAAGAGAAGTTGATGGTCATACACGAAGCCTCAGATCATGAGACTACACAAGACAAAGAATTGTTGTTAAAGTCAGAGATGAGAGAGTTGAATAAGATTGGAGCTTTAAAAACTGTCACTAAGAAAGTCGGTACAGATGCACTTAGCTCATACATGGGCTTAATCAAACGATGACTGCATCGAGGATGCCAGAGAGAAAGTATCTAATGTCCTAGCCAGAAATGTAACTATAAAACCTCTTTTGCAAAAGACGTTAGTCAATCGAGTTGCCAGTAGTTTCTGTATGGAGCTTAATCAAACGATGACTGCATTCATGGAGAGAGATATAAGCCAGTATCGAGTGCCGCAGCTCAGGCACATGGGTTCGCACCTATCTAGCTTTTTTGAAGCTAAATAGGGGACGTCACTCTATCATCATCTCTGAACTTGATGAGAATATGAAGTCGATCTTGAGGCCGGCCGTATTGTTCAAAAAGCAATTCATACGTACTCAGCCTCTTGATGAGGAACCAAGTAGGGTTCACAAAAGATTGAAGTACAGTTCAACAAGGAAGGTATGACCCACTTAACCATTTCTTCGTTCATTCTAGGGCATTGATTCAATTCGAACCTTGCTTTTCGTTGGGCATTCTACGTCGTTCTGAAGATAATGCCATCTCAAACGATTGGCGACTTCTCGTGTGTGTACAGCTTTTAGATCCGGATGTTGTGAGGACTATCCGTTGCCCTGGATCAAATTATTGCTTGAGTATGTACTCTTGTTGAGTAAGCTCGTGAGTAATCTCGCGGGATCTCTACTGGCCAACTTGTTGGTACCCGAATTTCCTTGGGTTTTATGCTCTCCGGTCATGCATCATGATTCTCATTGAGGTTTTCTGAGACCTGGACGCCTGTGTTTTACGATCATTTGCTTTGGGCCAAAGGTCTGATTCCCAAGAACATGAAATCTCCGGAGCTCACGAACATACATCAGTCACAGCGACCTCGTTTTTTATATCTTAAGAGCCAGCTGACGTTTGACTTTTCTTTGTCAGAAAGAAAAGCAATGAATCGGAATGTTTTGTTTGATCAGCTTCTTACAAGTACGAGACGCTTACAAGATGGTTTCCATACAAATTTTGAGGTCGATGAGAGCGGAAAATGGGGCATTGAGATCTTGTGTATGTCGAGTTTTGCATGTTGAGGCAGGAAACGCTCACAGATCTGTGACCTATTAAGAGATAACAGCAGGCACGAGCAAATTTGCAGATCAGCTACGGAAATGAAGGGGACCAATATGCAAGGTTAGGGGAAAATTCACTGGCGTACTATTTCTATAAAAAACCTTGCTGATGCCCTTCCTTTAAATAAACAGTTTGGGAGAGAATTACAATAAGTTAAGATGAAACCTTGCCGGTGTAGCAACTGACTTAAACGATCCGCTCACTGTTGCACCCCCCAGAAGATACTCGGCCTTGTTTGTTTCCCCCCCAAAATTTAAAGGTTCAGTTTGCTCATCTAGAACGATGATGTCCGCACTTGCTAGCCCGCTTGGAATAATCGCATTCCTTCCTTCGTATTTTACAACTCGGTTCCGTCCAGCTAGTATGCTTATGCTTACAACACAAGTACTGACTCCGGTTCACAATTATTGAAATCACATATTTCTCTGGAGATGCTGTCCGACAGCATGCTTTCACTTTCAAATGCAAATTCACTGTCAACTCTTTTTTCGCTGAGATCCTCAACCGCTATGCTGCAGCTGATAACGCGGGTAGCACTCAACTATCTTCAAAGCACCCTCCTTTGAGCTAGATCACCAGGAAAGTCACGTTCGAAAAATGTTATTCAATGCCCGAATCATGCATCTCAACCCCAACAATTAAAATCGCCTAGAAATTCCTGAGAAACTTGATATTATGGCTATTCTCGATTCCCTGCCCGGAATTAAGGGTGTGGTATGTATTGATGGCGAGCCATTGAAAGAATACGAGAGCACCGAAGATGAGGTGATGTTGAATGAACCAGAAGGACTCGGCAAGAAGTTTGACGTCGCCAGACATCAGTGTTCTGTGACTGTCAAAAAGTTTATCGAATCTACGGCCGGCAAGTGCTTTACCATTAAATGCTCCGTCAAAACCCCATATAGATATGCAGGCGCTTGTACGCACATTTCATTTTGCTCTTCTATCGATGGCGAGAACCTGTCTTGGGCCCCTCTTTTCAACAAAGAAACATATGAAAAGAACAGTTTTAGCTTGACTCGAGAAGTCGAGGGAAATTTCTATAAGGAGGAAGGAAAACTACTACTACAGAGATTACAAATCACAGAGACGCACTTGAGTAAGATTCCAACGGCCGCGTGACTTTGGGTAACGTACTGAGACTACATCAGCTCAGTGGGATAACTCGATCGAAGCAGCCACTCGGCTTGACGGAAACGGACGTTATGTGGGTGACATTGAAGTGAGAATCTTTAGAGAAATGTACCCATCAAAGGCCAGTCTTGTCAGCACAGCTCCATTGGTCAGTAAAACCAAGACTCCAGAGAATTTGTTGAAGGGTCAAGCAAAGTCGCATAGCACATTGTAAGAATTTATATATTTTTACCACTTAATACCTCTATTACTGAGAGTCATGGACCGTCAGCTAATTTCACGGATAGATTCAGTCAGGGAGAAGCTGAAAAAGAAGGCAAATATGTGAGAATGAAATGCTGCGATGGCGGAAGAGAGTATCCTATTGCAATTTTCAATTTTCAATATGGCTCGAAAGGTTGAAGTTTGTTCCAGAAAAGTATGTGCAGTCATCACTAATCGTTTGATGCTTAGGAGATCTTGAAGCATTAGGTGTTGTTGAAAGAACGCCGGAGCCAGAGTCATCGTTTAGTTTTGGTCACAATTCTGAGCCCCTACCTATGCCGATGAGTGAAGCTCGAGCTTCAGAGAAGTTGTTCCGGGGTACGATGAAAGAAGCGAAGGCAGAGGCAGAGCTATCAAACAACAATTTTCGTGGCGGATCTACTTTCAACCCACTGCCAAACACTTTCAACCCTACATCAATCAAGAGAGAAATCCAGGACGCTGAACCTAGTCAAAGTTCTTACCCAACAGCCCCTTCAATGCCTGCCGGCTCTTCTAAAGTCACGTCCCCAATAAATTCTGCATCTTGGAATCTTCAAAATCTAGATCCAACACAGACTGGACAATTGTTTGGACAGTTTCTGCAATACTTACAAACATAAGGAGGCGGGCAGCTCTCACAAGCACCTCCGCCACTCCCAGTAGGAACCACGACTGCAGCTCTTCCCGGTCTATCAACATCCACCAGTAGCAGCGAAATCATCACTACAGCTACTCCAAAGCCACCAGTTAAGCGCGAGAAAGGAGGAAATGGCAACGAGAGTCGCAAGAGGCGTCGTAAGGTCAGGGGACAAGTTACTATTGACCTCACAGAGTACGAATCTGATGATGACGTTGTTATTAATCTTGATTCGGACTGAGATTTATATATGTCTTTGGGATCAATGGGTACCAAAGAACATCTGCGGTCATCTAGGTTGGTTGTTCTGGGCCGGTCTTTCACCACCAATCTAATCATTAAAGTTCTTTTGTTGCGTTGAGAAATCATTGTGGGCGCTTGGTAATGTTTGGGGGTAATCCAAGGAACATATCGTTGAACAACATCGTTACGTTACTGGTGTTTCTATTCGGAAAAAGATAAAGCCTGCTAGGCGCCTCATGGCAAGCCAATACTCCTGGCAACTTAAGTATTTATAGTACATCAAAGCACCTCGCAAATATAAAATCGTATAATTTCCATATCAAATCTGCGCCCAAGACTTGATGAGTGTGTACCATGGTCTCTCCCACTTCTCGGACGAAGAAATAACATCAAAATCTCTCACTCGTATTTCATCTAAATCTGCAACTAAGGAGCGACGACAACTCACTCATGTCCATTGGAAACTCTCCCAACAACTTCAGTCTAATTCAAATGCCACGTTGATTACCCCGCTCTCGACTGAAGTGTGAGGATACAACTACGATCTCAGTTTTCCCTCTTTAACCTCATCCTCTCTTTCTAAATCTCTTAGATTTTACCAAGAGTATCCATCCTTTTCAGCCTCCACATATCGTTGCAAGCGCGTCTCATCCGCTTCTGAATTGTTGACGCTTTATATCGATACCTGAAAACCCATTCTTTAATTTTTGCTTTGAACTTTCAATTGCCTGGAATTTCTGCTCAGAACTCGCCCGTAATAGTCGACTGCAACAATTGTTCACAGGATCTGCACGTAGTCTGCATTGCTAAGACCCTTTAACTTTCATTTCGTCTCCGAGTAAGAGGGCGGTTTTACGCGTACATTTGGTTTCGACGCAAATCTTTGATTTTTAGAATCTTCATTTTCCAAAGCATTTGCTTGATACCTTCGTCGGCTTTACATTTTTTAAACTTCTTCATTACCTTCTTCATCATGTCTAGGCGCAAGGACTTCCTCGACCTTAGTCTTCCAAAGGGAGTTCATTCTCCACCTGTCCCAGGAATCACCGCACAAATAATCTCTCAGGACAAGAAAGCTTTCCCAAGCTATCCTTCTCCTGACAAAGAGGCTATCGTTGAGGGTGACGAGTTGTCTGAATATTTCAGCGTTCGCACCGTCACAATCTATATTGCCGTTACCAATAACACACCATTTTCAATTCATCTACGGGTTGATAGACCTTATCCTGTGAAGATGGACTGCTCGAAATTGCAGTTCGAGATCTTTATTGATGGGAAGTTTGTGTGGGATGCTTGGTGTCATAAGCCTCGGTATCAAGAAAATGGAAATGTGTGGGAGGAAATCATTGGAGGACTGAAACTGGGAAAGGGACGGAGTTGTGAGATTAAAGACTTCAAATTCATGGGACTAAAAACCAGTAAGTTGACCGGATACCCAAATTAATCATCCGACCCGCAGCTCTGCACATGAGGTCTAGACTCGAGAGGAACGAAACATCTATGCTACATGGATATAAGAAGCTCATGACGAACTAATGAAACTCAACAGATGAGGAAAGCATGTCTTATACGGCCATTCAGCGTATTGGGGAATCCATGGCCAAGATTGGTAAGATTGAGATCAAGGTATACAGAACAACGTATGGGAAAAAGGGTGGCGATGTCAAAAATAGTAAGAAGGGATTCTTGACCAAGAAAAACAGAGAGGTTCCTGAGAAAGCATTAAAAGGCGAGGCAAAGAGTCATGGTACTGCGTAAGTGTATATTCCTTTTTGTTGTTGAAAATACCCACAAACTAATATTCAAATAGGTTGGATGAAGGGCGAAAGACAATCAGAGGAGATGTGTGGCGAGAGGCCAACAAACATGGTGAACTTCCAATCGTCATTTTTCGCTTCCTATATCGCTCAGAAGGTTTGTGCTGCCCAAGCTAACGAGGAAGAATCTATCGCTAATCTGAACACACTTGATACAGAAGCGCTGAAATCTCTGCACATCATTGAATACACTCCTGATTCATCTCGCTCCAGTTCACCAGAAAGTGAAGACCAGACTAGTAGGGGCTTATCAGCTGCCCAAGCAAAGCAAGTCGAGGATTTACTTAAATCTTTCAGAAAGTCGGCAGGCGGAGGCGGTGGATCAAGCAGTCGAAAAGCAATAAAGAGAGAAGATGAATTGGGTGGTCGAAAAAAAATCAAAAGGGAAGAGAAGCCCGAAAGCAGCTAAATGGCTGCAAAGCGACGTAGAGCTGAAAAGGGTAAGGGGAAAGCAGTTACGATTGATTTGACAGCAGATAATAGCGGCGACGGTCAGGAGTCTGAAAGTAGTGAGAGAGCCACAAAGCGACGTAGAGTTGCAAAGGGCAAGGGAAAAGCAGTTACGATCGATTTGACAGCAGGTAGCGGCGGTGAGGGCGAGGACAAAGATGAAGAGCCGAGTCTTGTTGGTGGCGACGAGGATGGTGTTGATGACCAATACGATGATTTGTTTGTCCAAGATAATGGTCCATGAAGCAGGCAATCGTTAAGGAGAGATCTGAGTTTGTTTACATTCACTAGGGGTTCGAATGAAGGACAACAGACCTATAATAGATGCGAGGAGAGGTAGACATTGACATATGGGCTAGCAAGGACGGAGGCGCGTATTTTTAAGCAGGCAATTTATTTTTAACTTACACTACAGCCTTATGGGAGGAAGAAAGCGGTATCATTTGGTAAGGGAAAACGGGCAAGACATTTGCTGGGTGGTTGAATAAGCGTGGACTATTGCAGGTATACAATGAATTCCATGTTACTCAAGAGGTTTTCGGAGCTGGTAGCTCGGAGATGGAGGGGGTAGTGAGAAGAATTCAATGGTGGCTTTGAGAAGTTGAATATGCACAAGAGCTTTCAAATATTAAGTAGATCAAATAGAATTTATAAGCATTATCTTCCGTACTAATCGAGTTGCATTCATTTTTCAACCAAACTTGAACGCAGACAATGAGAATCACGTGAGTGAGGTACACATTGTTCCAAGTTTAGCGTGGATTTTCCTTGGAAGCGAGAGCGCTCGGCTCTTTCTCACCACAAAAATATCTGATGACGTTGAAGCTCCGAGCTACAGGATACATTAACCACTACTGTAACAAATAGCTTGTTGACTTTTCATCAACACTTCCTTCTTCATCACAACACACAACTTTCCTTCTCCTCCACCACATCAAAAGATCGTCTATATTACTGTAAGTTTTCTTTTTTGATCTTATTCTCATCATACGGACAATGTAATAAATGCTTCGAGCTCAACACATTACATTACGAATGCACTCTGTGGGATCCTTTCGAACATTTACTGATATTAACAATGGAACAGGCCACGAATCAAAACAAACCACTTAATTTGGAGGAATCAGTACCGCAAAGATGACACTCTATTACAGTCTTGTATGTTACCACCTTCTGCCATTCGACGATGGGCTTCACGAAACCCCTCAGCCCAATATCCTGATCCGCAGCTCCGGCAAAGTAAACAAAGCATGCTAACAAAAATTCGTCCAGGTCTTTGTGCTCCTTGTAGCAGAGATGGCACTTTTCATGCTTCTCATCGTTCCTCTGCCTTTCACCATCCGCAGAAAGATGTTTACTTTCATGTTCGTGGTTCCCCATTATTTTTCTTCCGCCTGCAGCTACTAATACCCCACTAGAAGCGAAAGTCGACTGGTAGCAAAATTACAGTACGGGATGAAGATTACGTTTATCTTCATCCTGATTCTGTTCCTCGATAGTGTAAACAGAGTTTATCGGGTTCAAGTCGAGTTAGCAGAGGCCAACAAAAGTCAAGCTGGGTATGTTTTCCCTCTCCACTTTATCTGGCAGATCAAGAACTAACGATTAGTAGTAACCCTGTCCTCGGCCATGAACGCATGGAAGTACAAGCCCGTAAATTCTATTCTCAACGTAACATGTACCTCTGCGGTTTCACGCTTTTCCTTTCCTTGATCCTCAACCGAACCTACACCATGATCCTCGAAGTTCTCCGCTTGGAAGAGAAGGTTAACCGTTACGAGGGTACCGGCAAGACCGGCGGAAAGGATTCTGACAAATTGGATCGTGCCGGAAACGCTGGAGAAATTGGCAAGCTTAAGAACTTGTTGGCCCAAAAGGAGAGAGATATCGAGACCCTCAAGGAACAATCGGCCAGAAACAAGCAATTCTCTGATGATATCCTTGATAAGGCTCAAGCTGGTGAACCATCTGCTGGTAGCAGAAAGGAGAAATGAATTGATTTCTTAATGTGCCGGGCGCTTTGGCGAACTACATCGACAAGTCAATACTAGGGAATGGATGAATGGAAAGGATGAACATGGTGGTGTCGGAGTGGACAAGTTGGGGACGGGGTAGGACGGGGAGTGGGGACGAAGCGTGTCTTTTTTGATGGTTTATGACGGGAAAAGTTGGCTTTCATGAGTTTTAGTGGCGTATCCATGAGAAAGGAAAATACAAATTTGATATGAGTTAACTCACAGTTGCTGAATATGATATGTGTGAGGATTTAATTTTGGGCCTGACCGGAGAAACAGACTCGAATATTAAACACTCCCATTCCAAAATTCCAGTTTCAATTGTCCTTCGAGTTTTATCAACCTAAAAAATTATGACATGCTCACTGGCGTCTTTGATACATCTCGCTTCGTCAAAGAACACGTCCATGATATTGGCATTATGCATGTAGATGAAAATTCATCCAAGCAGTCACGAGTGAACAATATAGCAGTGTTTCAAAATCTCATATAAAATTACATTCGTGTTGATGCTTTTAAGAGACCAGCTTCTATGTATTTCCTAAAATGTTCTGCATTGCGCGCCCATATATGATTTCATGTCTCCCCCTTAACAATATAACGTAACGCCTGATGGTATGCAAACTTTGGAACTTCTTCACTCCCACGTGATTCTCATGTAACTTGACCATCTATCCTTCTGCTTCAATTTCATAACTATTTGATTTATGCTTGGGTTGGAATTTGAAACCTTCGTGTGCGGGACCGAGGAACATTTCACTGGTTATTTAGTTAGTATCATGATTATAGAGAGAAAACGACATAATGAGAGACATAAAACATACCTAATCTTCATCCAATCCATGTAATTATCACTAGCCAACAGGGTTTCCAAATCATTTCGGCCCCTATAAGCTGGTGGACGATCTTGCAAACTAGGTGGTAAATGTTCCAAAATACCTGCGGGAACATATCGATGAGCAAAACTCAACCATTCCAACAAGAAACGTCTAGTTTGACCAACACCAATCTCATCCGATCCCCAGGCCTCAAGTCCGTAACGTGTGAATTTTTCTACATATTGTAGACGTTCTGAGGCGGATTTATCGAGGACCTGTCCCTTTTCAATTTCTTCAAAGAGCCATGGTTTGATGAGTGCACCACGTGCTACCATGACGGAGTCAACGCCTGCATTTTGGATATGGTCGAGATAGTCAATGTGAGAATAACAATCACCGTTACCGATGAAATGTATTTTTCCATCAGGGGCATTTGGTAATGTACGGGCATCTGGCTCCATGACTGTGTCTGTCAAATCATCCTTCTTTTGGTTGTATGACTTGACGAGAGCTGCACATTCTGCGATGTAGCTCCAATCGGCACTTTTGGTATATCTTTGTTGTCTACTACGACCGTGAAGGGTGATAGCAGCGCAACCAGGAGCTCCAAGTCTCTCGCGTGATTCAACACCTCCAAATGCTAAACGTTCAATGGTCTTGAAAGCATTAGGCTTTCCGGTCATGGTACCCATTCGAATCTTGGCTGTGATGGGAACTTCTCCTGAAACCGCATTCATACCTCGGATCATTTTCTCTAATTTTGATGGTGCATCGAGTAATGCTGAACCGGCTCCTTGTCGATAAACAAGTTCGATGGGACATCCACAATTCAAATCAATTACTCGCAAATGCGGCACGAATCGACTTAGGACTTCAGCAGCTTTAATTGCCATGAACGGTTTGCTAGCCGAAATCTGAGTACCAAACTTCAAGTCTTTGGAATTATCGTACTTCTGAACAATAGAGCTCTTGTCTGGGTTGACTCGTGGTGGTGCGATTTCGCTCTTGTGTGCCTTCATTAATGCCCACTCTGATTTTTGGCCTTGAAGCAAAGGTATCGACATTGCCATTTCCGAGTAAGTAAGTTGTGCACCAAGCTCCACACAGAGCCGGCGAAATGGGAGATTGCCTTGAGTTGTGAGCGGCGCAAGAACAGGTGTTTCGGGGCCAAAGTAAATTCGACGCTTCTCGGATGGGAGGAATGGAGGCTCCACATATCGCGCTCGATTCTCTTGCTTTTCTTCTTCAGTCTGATCCTTTTTCTGATCCTTCCTCAGGTTACTTTGTCTGTTGACTTCCTCTGAATTCTGATCCAACCATGTTGTGTAGAGATCGGATTTCTCCATAGGCGTCTTCTTTTTAGCCAGATCAATCTTATCTTTGGTGCTGATCACATTCACAACACTCCCCAATGCTTCTTCATACCCGAGTGTAGTATCATCCATGCGATCTGTATCATCTGTGAGGACCAACTCCATTCTACCATCCTCTCTTTGAATCTCTTTCGAATGACTTCCTACAAAACGACACTTCCAGCCAGCTAAACATGTTCCATTGTCTTCCCAAACTGGACATTTTGAATTGAACGTAGTCAAATCTGCTCTCCTTCCTTCGGCCAAATATGTCCTAAGATTGTGTTCGCATTTACAGCTATCTCCGTAACTGCATTCCTTTGGCGAGAACTCTGAAGAATTCGATACGCTATTGCAAAGTTTGATCTTGTCACCCCATGACCCAAACTGACGATCCTTATTTTGACCCTTTGCCTTCTTTTTCTTCTTGCCTCCATTGTCTCGATCATCCCCGTGAGGTTTTCCTTCTGCAGCATCGTCGTTTTCTGCAGGATTGCGACCATCAGTGGCCGATCGGCTTCCGGCTGGCTGAATCAAGTACCTAGAATTTTTTTAGTGAGGGCCGAATTAAAAGCGCAATTGAGTTATCGGCTCTAAAAGATGGCGAATACATATGATTATTGACTATTGACTTACTCGGCTTTGACAGGAGCAATGCCTCTGATTCTATCACGAGAGTCTGTTGCAGTAGGTTTGTGATTTTGTTCTTCAATTCTGGCTCTTTTTGCAGATGGTTCTCCATTGTTCACAGAATCCCCATTTGTACCATTTCTCTCTACCTTCCCTGCCTTTGTGACTGCTGAATCCTCTGGAAGAATTGGTTGTGGTGGGTGCGCTTCCTCCAATTGTTCGCCATCTAATGGTCGTTTCAAGGACTGAGAAGGGTCCACTGGATTGGGGATTTCATCGGCCATGGTAATTTTCAGTTGTTGAGAAATAGTTTGAACTATTGGGAGTTTTCTTTCCACCAATGTCTCGAGTTGATATTGAAGTGGGATGGAATTGGGATGTTGACCTTGAGAATGTTCCCGATTCGCCTTGTCAAAGAATGGCAATTGA